TTAAAATTAGATGTTTTTTTTTAATAGAAAAAAATGGTATGGACAATAAAAAAACATTTTTACTTATAAAAAATGTCATTTCCAAATTAGATTTCGTTAAGATCTTAACATACTACATTGACGACAAGAAAATTTTAACAATGAGTAATGACCATATTTTTTCAAAGTTTTGCAGAGTAGCTTTTCTAAAGATTTAAAAAAGTAACATCTTTTTCCTCTTAGAGAGTAAAACTATTTTTTTATATTACTGACTTTTTTGTCAATGTTTGCCAAAAAGTTTAGTTAAAATTAAATAAATTCATTTTTTTTTACAGATCTTTGTAGTTAATGTAAAATGAATGACTATAATGAAGGATATAAAACAAGGTGAAAGCTGAAAGGTATGTAATGAAGCCTTTATTAGATTGAGTTTGTAAATCCCAGACATGAGTGGAAAATGCAAATCAAACCCAATTAAAACCAATAATTTGATATACATCATGATATTTTTCTAGGGGGGGGTAAAAAAATTTCTAGGGGGGGGGGGGGAAAAAAAAATTCGGCGCGAATTAAAAATATTCACCCCCCCTTACAGAATTCTTATGTCCGCCCCTGGGCGGCTCTCTGTCACAGCATGTGTAAACATCGTTTAAATAATACGTGTTCAGTGAGGGAGGAAAGGCCCACCACACCATTTTTTCGGCCGACCACAAATGACCTCAAAATTCACCAATATTTCGTCCGACCACATCCTTTTTTTCGTCCAGTATTGTTTAAATTCCCTTTTTAATACTTAATTAATAGACGCAGAATTCCTTCTTTAAATTACTTTTTTCGAAATTTGGAGCACATCAAAACGTATCGTCATTAAACTTATCACCACAAAACATATCTTTTCAAAACTTATCATTTCAAGCAAATCCAAACCGTATTAAAAAATGTGTATTTGTAGTAGTTGTAGATTCTAAAAACTTCAGCCCAATATAACCTTTAAGTACAGTTTATGAGTTATTAATGAGAAACCAACGAGATAAGTAAAGGATTCGGAGATGCAAATGCTACCACAGAACTACATTGATAATACATATACAGCATCAAATATGAATTGTATACAGGGATAACCTGAAAACTGTGGAATAGGAAGACGACATTGAAGCAATATTCCAAGTGTATCGGATGTTGTTACAAACCAACTAGTTTTACTAGAACCTTAAACATCAGTTATAACGTAAAATGGTCTGTGCACACTACACAAATGCTGTATACAATGTACATTTGATTGCCTAAAGTCATAACTTGAGTCTAAAAGTCGTCTTCCTATTACAGAGTTTTCTGGTTCTCTCTGTACATCACATTAAGAACAACCAATATCAGACTGCATTGATCCGATACAAGAGAAATTAGATTTGAATGTTACTTTTTAAACCAATTTAATGACCATGCATAACAACTCACAAAACTATGTAATCAATCAATCCAGACCCCAGAGTCCTCAGTGAAAAAAAGCACAATTGAAAATGAAGGTGGGAAAAGACATATTTTTCTTCTATAAATATTGTAACTTTTATCTTGTTTTATCATAACTTTATTGCAAAAATAAAATTATTCGAGCTTTCTTTGAATTTAAAAAAAATGAGCTATGAAAATTGAAAATTAAAAAAACATACTTTTTGAACCAGAAACATGAAGGACTCTTTGTGATATTTATGAAGCAAATTTAGCTCCAAAGTTTCTATTCATACCTTTGAGTTTGGATTTCATATTTTTTTCACAATACATGGCTACATTTCATGCAGAGGGGGAGGGGTAGAGTAAATTGTATTATTCTGCACTAATGCTAGCAATAAGAAAACTTCAAAAATTCTGGGGGGGGGGGGTAACAATTAAAGTTTAAGGTGATAGAGTAACATTCCATTACCAGAAAGTGAAGAATACGACATTTGAGGAATTCTTTCGATGTATTCGTTATTATGGGTTTCACGTTATAAGATTAGTTTACAGAATAAATGTCAAAATTATGTCAAAGATCAAAGACAAACTTCAAATCGTCTTGCTACTGTCATGTTTTGTGGGACACCCTGTATATTACACTGTAATTCGCAAGAAGGGGTAAATTGTACTATTTTCTTGCAATTGTACTATTTTTTTGGGTTGTAAATTAAACGTTTCTTTGCAAACCAGGTGATGTTTATTGCAGTATTGGGGGGGGGGGGGGGGGGGGGTAACAATTAAAGTTTAAGGTGATAGAGTAAATTGAATTACTCTACATGTAACAGTCTTGGCAATATAGGGATTGGGAGACACAGGATGTCCCACGAAACACGATANAGGAGATTCGCTACTTGTTAGATATTTTGTTGACTAACCCCAGTTGTTCGATATTTTGCTGACTAACAGTAACGCCTGATGTTATTGTGTTATTGTGCAGTGAAGCTTTTTTCTTTTTCTCTGAAATTTGAAATTTATTGACGTTCTTCGGGTACTCGAGTTTTATCAATATCCGTTAAAATTTTAAAGTATTTCTTATACATGCAAAAATTGGAAAATTCCAGAAAATATTTGAGTAATGGGAAATGAAATTAATTGTCATTAAAAAAGGGAAGATTCGAATTTGCGATTGCACATTTCCCACATAAAACGCCTTAAATATTAAAGACACTTTGAAAAATGCTTTAACTCAGAATTTATATTGTGCTGAGAGCAGTAAATGATTTCAGGCCCGTAGCTAAAAAATTTCTGAGGGGGGGGGGGCAAAAAAGTTCCTAAATTGAAGTTATAAGGATTGGGGACCGCACCGTAAGCGAAAAATCGTTTAACCTGGGAAACTTCAGAAAATGAATCATCGACTAAGAAACTGGGTTTTCAACTTGTTAAATAATGTCTACTTTGTCCAGCACTATTGAGAAACTAATTGCATCGAAACAAATAAATTGCTAAGTTAAAGCTTCAAATATAATTTCAATTTGTCTCCATATCGTTACTTTTTGATAAAAATCATTAACTTATTATGCACAATTTCTGAAATCCAAGAAATTGCTTAAAACAAATAAAATTTACCCATAATTTGTTTCAAAAACACAAAATTATTTATTTAAAGGAAAATGACCTTTTACACATGTTTGGTAGAAAAATATATATCTTGACTCTAATCCCTTCTTTCTTTGACTTTTCGTGCTTTCCAATTCTTTTCTTTTTCTCCAAGATAATGTACCCCCCACAATTAAAGTTTAAGGTGATAGAGTAAATTGAATTACTCTACATGTAACAGTCTTGGCAATATAGGGATTGGGAGACACAGGATGTCCCACGAAACACGATAGTAGCAAGACGACTTAAACGCAAAGAGAATAGAATATATATTAGAGTGGAACTTACTAGAAAAAAGTGTAAAACGGCCATTTTGTTTTACTGTCTCCATACTGGGCCCTGAAACATCATTTTATAGAAAATCTCAAATAAATTTTAAACGAAAAACAAATTATGAAATAGGCTATTTGCATAATTGACTAATGATCATTTCACATGGACTCTATGCCTTTCACTTTACAAACGATGATTTTCCGTTATAACTATAAATCAATTGATGTTTTTTATTCACCTAATTCATTTTATAAAGTATATTTAACAGCTTAAAAAGATTCGAAATTGAACTGGATAGTCTAGGGAACATATACTGTATTAATGTACTCTACTCCTAGAATTTGTGAACATTTACATGATTTGTACACTTTGAACTCCCTTTCAGGCTGAGGCACTGACAAAATTCATATCGAGGGATTTTCTAAATTCCACTCTAATATATATTCTATTCTCTTTGCTTAAACGTCGTCTTCGACATCGAATTTATTTGACATTTGGTCGTCAACCTACTATAACAGGTATAGTTCATGAAACAAAAGCCAGAAAATTCTCTTAGTCCTGGCATTTCCAAAATATCGTCTGACTTTTTTGTGCTGTCAATATTATCTGAGATATTAAGAATTTCGTTCAGATTACAATTTTATTCAATAAAACGAAAATAGTCGAAATCTGAACGAAATTCTTCATGTCCGGAAATATTTAAAGCACAAAAAAGGCAGACCACATTTTGTAAATTCCAAATTTAGGGGTATCTTGTGTTTTATAACTCTATAATTTTACTTACAGTGAAACCCTTAATAACGAATACATCTGAAGAATTTATCAAATGTCGTCTTGACAATTTTTCAATGAGTTTTATACTATATTACGTAAATTTCAGTATTTGCGAAAATAAATAAATAGCCATGAATATGCGGGAACAGTTTTAAAGAGNGGGGGGGGGGGGGGGGGGTCAAATGCGTTGGCTAGTATTAGCTAGACTGCACAACATATGCTTTCGAAGTTCCTTGTAAAATATCTACATGTTGTCATTGAGTAGAAGTTTTTTTTTCTTTTCTTTTCCGATTTAGGTTTTTACAGCTTATTTGTTTAGATTAATTTTCTTCTGTGTCAAAACTTTTTTATGGCTCTTCCTATAATTTGTATAGCTTTTTAAAAGATAAACTGCAGCTTTAATCGGATTACAACTAAATTTTCCGTAAGCATATTTGTAGTCATCACAATTCCTTAATTCTTCTCGAAGGTGACCCTTGTAAAAATGATCCATATCACAAATTACTTCAACTAAATCATTAGTCAAACAACAAATTTGAAACCTTTTATGGAAAATTAATAACAAAATGAGTTCTCAAGATTTTGATTAGCATTGCAGTCCCAAATCCATAAAAAAACCTAAACTTTTTCGAAGAGTGATCAATTAAAATTTTTTAAGGGAATGTAAAATAAGAATGGAAGATTTAAAAAGTTTTTAAATATGCCTGCTTCACGTTTAATGCCCAGTGTTATGAAATATAAGTCAGGATAACATGTTGACTAGCAAAACATATTTACATTTTTTGCCTAAAAACTGACATTTACATTTTTTGCCTAAAAACTGGAATTTTGCTTTTTATTGAAGATTATCTATTAAAATGGTATTTTGTACAGAGGATACGTCCATATGAATAGTGTAACATATATATTTTGTAGTGGTAAGTTGATTTGTCTGTACACATTATTTTGCCGTTAGCGCTCTACATTTTTATTCATTTGAACCATTCATTTGAGAGAAGTAGGTTTTATAAAAATATTTCACATAAGCAAGAATGTGTAGATTTGTAGTTTGTATACAACATAAATTAGTTATCTAAAATTTTAAAATTTCAAAAAACAATTAACGATACGAAGTCGTCCAAACGCAAAACAAGTCGATGTATTTCCTGAACTAAGTAATTTAGACCATATTTGTCTGAATCGTCTAAACACTAAATGTAACTCTTCCAACTTTAAGATTTAATTTCAAATTCAATTTGGCTTTCAATCATACATAGAATTTATTATTATTATCTAAACTTGTGTTAAGTTTAATCAATATACACGTTTTTCCTCTACTCTCCTTAAAATTACAAAGACAAAATAATTTGAATTCACTTAAAAACAGTATACAAACGTCAAACCATGAACAAGGGTGCATAAATCAGCTATTCTGAATGAACAAAAAGAACTTCGGGCGTGGTCAAACTGAAGCTGAGCTTACTCCTTTTTTTCTTTTTCATCTGACGATCTGAAGCATCACACTTCTGTTTCAGTTCTTGAGTACTTGAACTTTCCTGATTATCTCTTGATATAGAGCTTAATATAGGAGAAGGTATAATCGCATTTGCTTTGTTTTTCAATTCTGATGCATTCACCTCTTCTTGGGGCGTAGCTTGGATATTTTTGGATGAAGAATCAGCTTCATGAAGGTATTTTGATGAAGTATTTTCACAAATAGTTGCTTTAGGCTCACATGTATCTTTAACATTGGACTCAAATATTCCATTTGCGATTTGCACCCGATTTTCAAGTATCGTAGATTCGTAGGTTTTGCTCTCCCTTCCTATTTTATTACTAGATGAAGATGGTGCACTAACTACAGATATAACAGATGAGGAACCTCCAACACTTAATCTTTTCCTCGTTTTTTTAGCTCTTTTTAAATCAAGTTTATCAATTTTTCTTTCCATTGGTTGTTCAACATTTTTCAGGGAAGGCAAATCTGAGGGTTTGTTTTTAAATGAGTAGAGCGGAGATCGCAGGATATCACTTATACTCTCGGCACTGGTGGTATCTATAGGATTTAACGAAGCTGGAAGACATCTAGGTGTTACAGGATGATTGATTTCTAGAGATGGCGAGGTCAAGGATGTTGGGGAAAACAAGCTTTTTGTGTTAGATTTTATCGGAGAATCCGTTTCGCTTTCTGACAAAGCCAGGTCGTTCAGAACCTAAATATGAAAATATTTATCTTCACATTTATCTTCAATTACTTTCCAAGCGAAGTATAAGTTCAAAATAAGAATATTCAGAATTTATTTACCAATACCTGTTTGATGGGAGCCTCTCTATTCATTGCTGAATCGGTATTTCCCCCACTAATAATCTCACTGTTTGAAACTAGTTTTTTTGATTTTTCTCTGTATGAAGATATGTTGTCGAAAACTGCATTATCACTTTCTTCTACCAACGAGCCCGTAACACTAGTTTCTAATTGCGCCAGGTCTAGTTCTTTAGCACATTCTAAAAACAGAGGGTTTTTATACATCATTGTATCAAACAATTATATGGAACATTTTTAATAATTTGTTCTCAGAGAAGATAAAAACTTGACGCACTAACCTTGGAGAGATTCACTGCTAGAGCTTGGTTCTCTAATATCACCATCTTTGAGACTCCGCAGACACAACTTTAGCGGAGACACTGTAGGCTTACTCTCATCAAGACTGTTACTATTCTTCCGGGACGGAGTTCTGGACTTGCTCCGGCTTCGTGAACGAATCATATCCTAAAGAGAAGTGAGTAACAATACTTAAGAGTTTAGCCCACTGAAATTGAAATTTCAGGAAGCGTTAAGTTCATATTGGCGTTAAGTTCATATTGGTAAGTTTAACATTTCTGACCTTTAAACTTCTTTCCTCTGCAGATAGCTCCATAAGTTGCTTTTGTTTAAATGGAATGATTCTGTGGTTTATATCTTCATCTGTATACACCAACAGGCTTTCCCGGGTTATCCGGAGAGAATCTTCAACATGACTAAACATTGTTATCATTTAAACAAGGAAATAGATTTCTCGCAAGTATTCCGACCCCGTCCCCTCCCTGTTGTCAGAAATTAGTCTAATGGTATGTTAATTCTAAAAACTGAATAAGCAAATAACCTTGAATGAACTGTTTGAGATTTCTTGATCTTAGAGTTTTCTTTGTCGCTTCCACTGTCATTTGCTGTATTTCCATGTTTTGTTGCTGGTCCAGACTTTTTAATCTCTTTGCCAGGTTGTATAATTGGCTTTATGGAAGGTTTTGGGAACAATCTCTCTTTATCTCCTCTGTACTTTTCAACATCATCTGAAGACCTTTCCTTGATTTTTCTCTTTTTCTTTAAACGGGGCCCACACGATTCAGAAGTCAAAGAATTAGTTTTCTTACTCTCTTCGGCGACTTTGTCATTTTCACGTACAATCAAAAGACATTCCTGATCGGAATCCATAATCTCTCCATCCTCTATATCATCATGAAGAATGCGTAGAAGGTTGTTTCTGGTCTCCTCCAAAGTTGCCAAACTTACGGAGTCTTCTTCCAACCTTGATGGAGACAATGATTGTGACCTCCTTTCTAACTTTGATCGTTTGTTACTTGGCCTTTGGGAGCTATCCCTTCTAGATCTCTTCTTATTTCTTGGAGTACATTTCCCTTTGGACGAAGGTTCTTCATTTTTTCGAGTTTGGGATCTCCCACGAGACTGAAGACCTCGCGTTCTCGTAGATCTATTTCTAGGAGACCTTGATCTTCCTCTTGACCTAGTTTTGTCCCTAATTTTTGGACTAATAGATTTTCGTCTCTTTTTTATCTTCTCACAAGAACTATCTCTTTGACCTGCATTTGGTTTTAAGTAATCTTTCGGTGTTCTGTTCTCTTGATCAGGCGTTCTGGGACTTCTTTCTGGCTTTGCTGTTTTTCTTGGTATCTTAAAATCTTTAGATACATTCACAGTAGGGGTTTGACTCGAAGTAGCAAGGCTCAATAACTTCTTTTGTACGGGATTTATCACTCTAGATGTAGATACATTCTTGGCTACAACATCTTTTTCAGAGATTCCGATCTTAACCTCTGCTTCTTCATCCGATCCGAAAATTGCCTCATCTTCATCTAAGTGAACTAAGAGTAAGTCGTCTTCTGTATCCTCTGCAGGAGTAATGGACCTAAAATATTAATAAATAATAAAACTAGGATGAATCTTACACAACCACAAGTATATGATGGGCGTATATTATTACATATTTAAGAGAATGGGACTTTTGTTCGGGGAAACAATGGGGCTCAATCTTAATTGAAGCAAACAATATAGATGAGCCGAATATTTACCTTATTGCCCTCCTTAACTCTTCATCAATAATTTCTTGTTCTGCATTTTTAGGTAAATCCGGACAGGGTAACGTTTCTTCAGTGTGTGCCACATGTTTAACTCCTGAGTTGGATGATTTAATCATTAGACCATCCTGAGAAATTTAAACTTATAATCAGATAAAAAATAAATTCTTATCTTCCGATTTAAGGATTCAGGAACAATTAGATTTCTTTTGCCAATCTTAAAAAAGTATAATAATATTTTCGTCATTGCAAATATATATTTTAAGTAAAATTGGAGTTTAAGTTTAAATTCCTCAAGTTCAGTTAGATTCTTCTGATGTAGGTCAATCAATTCTGATTTGGGTCTACTATTTTCTTGGTTATCTTTAGGTTTAAGTATTAGCCTCGTTTCCTCGCCGGAACACTTTAGTTGCAGCGGGGACGATGATTGTGACATCGAGTCTGAAACTGATCTGTCTTCATTTTCAATTTCTGATGATTTCTTTGTTCCTGATCGTTCTTTTTTACAGCAGTCATATTCCCGTCTATAGTAAATGTTAATTAATTGAGAAGTGAGTGCCACACAACAAGATCTAACTCAGATATCTTAAAGCCGAAGTGAAAACAAACTTTCTAAAAGGATCACAATAATTTCCTATCAAGTCACTTGTTATCAAACTAATGGAACAACTTTTAATTTCACGAGTTCTAAGTTGATAATTTTTTGTGACATGAAACAATGATCAAATAACGGATCTGAAATCCCCAAGATAATTATAGCGCATTTTCGATACCCAATTTTTCACTTAATGAGGTTAAGATGAACATTGATTGCAGCTGAGACTGGAGAGCAAACGTTTTACAAAATGAAGCCTGATAGCAAGTGTGCCGAGAGCAAGTAAGGCCCGAGTGCAAATGAGCAAACGAAACAGAAAGCAAATGAATGAACAGCAATTGAGACGATAGCGACCGAGTTGAACGAGCTAATAACAAGTGAGTTGGTAGCTAATGATCGGGGTCCTTTCTTTTCATTATTTGGTACTCAATTTGAAAATCAAACTCTTTCATTTTTCCAAATATGAATTAAAATTAGAAATCAGACCAAATATTGGCAAATAAGGTAAACTTTACTTTTTCACTGCTTTTATTATTGTAAAATATAAACTTGTCAATTAAATCACTTTATTTGCATTACTTCAGTTCCTGGTCCAAGTAAAATTATTGGACTACAAAAAATATTAAATTCTTTTTTTATATTGTTCATATTTTACCTATGGTCTCTTAACTCCTTACGTGTTCTAAAACCCAGACAACAAAGTAAACATTTCCAGGTGGCATTCTTTGAAAAGAATATTTCTTAGTTCATTTGGTTAGTTTTATATACCTAGTTGGGCTATTTTTGTTGGGTGGGGGCCAGGAGGGAGGGGGGGGGGAGGCTTCAACATCTCTGATATGGTCTTTAGACTGAGTCAAGATTAAGATGGGGGACGTTGAATAAATGTCGCTAGTTTAAAGTTTAAGGTACTGGGAGGTGGATTTGGATTTTACCCACCTGCAAAATTCCTATGAATTAAAAAGTGTATACAACTGGAAGACACTTCGAAAATGCTTTAACTCAGAATTACATAAATAGCAACTTTTTATTTAATTTTAAGGTAAGGAAAGGTGACAAAGTTTAAGCGTTCTAATGCAAGCCGTTTTTAATTACGAAAAAAAAACATAAGAGGTGATGGTGGATCCCCCCCCCCCNATACACACACACAGACAGTGGGATACGGTTCTTGAGGTTACAACAAGAATAACAACTACAACTACAGCTACACTCAACACTGTTTAATTTTCACGGGACGTTAACAGTTTCATACACCACCGGCACCACCCCCTTAAAACGCAAGTTCAAAAAATACTACCCAAATGTTAGCGAAAATTCAATTTTATCATTTTTGTAAAAATAAATTCTACAAATTAATTTCTACCTCAAAAGACTGTGAAGATTTGTTGGTTGGAGATCCTATTTCAGGTTTCCTATTTCCTAAACAAAGTATATACGTTATTTAAACTTCGATAATCTTATTATGAGATTTTCTATCAAAGTCGACCTCCGCATTTAACAGCCCACTCTCTTTGGACATCTCTTTTGTATAACGTCTCTCTAAATCTTAATTTTTATAATATGACATTCATTCATTCATACTGCAAAGACGGTTTATTTATGTAGAGAAAAGGAAAAAGAAAAAAGGCTACTTCCCAATCACCATCCTACTTTTATGGTCTATAAGAAAATCTTACCCGATGGAGAATTTTTATCCATAAATGATTCCATAACACCCTAAAGATAAATATATAAATAAGTACTACTTTTGTAGTCGATTAAATCTTTTAATAATTCACGGATTTAGGGGTTTATAAATATAACATTAACTGGGCATTTAATTAAAATAATAAACATTCATTTTCTACGAGATTTCTATATATTACCTTTTCTGGATTTCTTATGACACTTGAGAAAATTTGTACAGCTTTCTTTTTAGTTTTATTTGATTCTGGTGTAGAATCTAGTTTTTCTTTTGGAATCTCAACTCCGGACTTAGCAGTTGACGACGCCTGTACTTCTTGTACCACTGTGGCAGAGTTTTTCAACCTGATAATTTATACTTGAGCTCTTTTACAATATTCATACTTAATCTAATAAAAAAACGTGACTGAACTGAGACGTAAAAATAAAAGGAAACCGAAGAATTATTGAAATACACAACAGAAACTAAGCTATGAAAGAGATAAAACTAAATATTCTTATTTATATAATATTTCATTCCTTAACGTGAATCAAAAGTTTTAGGGTGGGCCATGAGATAATTTATTTAGAATTCTGGAATACACAATTAACTCGGTTTCGGGGGCAAAAAACTGGTTTAGCAGTCTGTATACGAACAATATAATTAGACTATTGTTGAAACAATATCTTAAGTTTCGACATGAGAGGGTGGTGGAGAGAGCAGGCCAGGTAAAGAGGACAATTAGAGGGGAGGGCTATAATCATTTAAAGCAGATATATTTCTATATATTTCCCTTGTTCATCTGTTTGTTTGTCTGTTTATTCCCTATCTTGAAATACTGGGCTCAATTTTATGTTTTGGTTTAAGTCCAGTTTTGGATGAGTTTGTTGACAAATAACCATTATACATTTGTACAGCCCCAGAATCTGAGTTAACTGTGAATTAAAGAATTTGGTGATTCTGATTCTCTTATGGCCTTAATTTACCTAACAACAAACTAACTTTTTTACCTGCTTTTAATCATATTTTGCGGGCTCTGGAGATTTTCTATTTGAAATATATCAATGACAGTGAGTGAATTTATTCTATTCTCTGCACCAGCAGAAACGGACGAACCCAAATTGTTGTGCTTTTTCATTTCGTCTTTGTTGTATTTTTTAGTTGCATTTTGACAAGGTTTATCCTTTGAGAGACATGCAGCTTTTGCGGCTTCAAGTCTAGGAAAATTCGCAGGTTCTCTTACAATACTTAAAGCCTCATGAGATTCTTTCCCATCTAATTGATCGTCAGATGGGAAAGTTTTTGAACCACCGTTCTCCTCAATTCGGGACATTTGTTGATTTTGTTCTGGGTTCTGTCTTGCAATTTGAGCGGACATTTTAACAACGTGGTCAGATGAAAACTTGTTTCCAGTAGGTTGCGTAGAATTAGAAATATTGCTAGGAATAAGAGATTTTGTTTCGATGACTTGGTTTAGGCCTAGACTTTTTTCTCTAATATTATGATGTTTTGATGATTTTACAGATAACTTTAGACCAGGCTCTTCAATAGAGTTAGAGGTTGGTTCAGGGGTCAAATCATTATCTAACATAGAGGCCGGGTTTGATAGTTGTTTAACTGAGTCACCGCTGGATAATTTATCTTGAGGTTCTGGTTCTAATTTTCTGACATCTTTTACATTGCACGATAAGCTCTCACTTAATTCTGAAAGAACTAGAGGCATACCAGTCTTTTTTCGTAAGTAACGATTTGAGTCAGCTGTCAACTGGATTACGTCAAGTTTTGAGGAGCTTTCTTCCCGTACATTATTTTTCTTTCCATTTATATCTTTAGATGAAATGTCCTTTCTCCAGCCTAGCCGTGACTTAATCTCGGTATTTCTTGAACCCCGAACACTTTCATTAGACTTTTTCTTAGATTCATTAGACAAATTCTCATTTGAAATTACTTTCGAAGTTTTCGAACCTAATTTTGAGGTCTCCTCATTAATACGAGGAGGTGCACCCAAGCAGGAGAAATCACAGGGAGGACGAGTTCTCCGCAGTATTTTCTCAAAATCATTCTTCGTCAGTAAAGGACCAGCACGTCGAAACAGTATTTCTTCCAATTCCCTGGTTAGATCTCTGAAATACAAAACATGAATTTTCGGCTTTGGCTTGTGTATTTAAAGGGGGGGGGGATTTCCCTTAAATACACAAATAGCCAAAGCTAACAATGCAAAAGGTCTATAACATGAGGTTGCTAAGATATTGATGTCAGAAACAAAGAGTTTAAAGAAAGTGATTAGTCACTTGGCCCAAAGAAATCCTTGCCCCTCCTGCTACTGCTGGAAATCCAGATTTGGTGTGAGTGATTTTCAGATATGCAAAAGTGCAATGCCAATTAATTTGGTTTATTCCCTAAAAATATATATATTCTCTTTAAAATTTGTTTAAAACCCTCTATTTAGAGTTTAAAGGGACATACTTAATCTGTTGGTTTTTAGATTTGATCTCTCTTCTGCAAGTTTGAACAAGACTTAAAAAATTTCTTTCCAGCACTTTATTTCGAGCAGTCAGTGCTTCTATAGAAATCTAAAAAAAAACATTTAAAAAAATAAAAGGAACGAAGTAACTCTTCAAAAACGTCTACCAAAATCATAAAATTCTTACCAGAAGTTTACTGTCTGAATAGTTAGTTTCTACCGACGTGACGACTGGCAATGAGGAAGAAGTTGTCGAGCTTGTTGGAAGGACTGAGAGATTAGAAGCGATGCTTGAAACTATGCTGGGGTTGTTGTATTTGTAAGGGACAGATGAAGACACAGAGGGTTTTTTGACAACAGAAAGATTGTAACTAAGTATATCATCATACAAACAATCTTGGCTTTCTTCATCTTGGACATAACAAACTTCCTCAGATTTAATTTCGTCTGGGTTATCACAAAGAATATTATCATATAGAAAATCGTCCGATACACCATTATTTTGCTTTTCACTTTTCCTCCCACTCCATCCTGTATCAGCTGGGGAATTAGTACTTGTGTGATTCATTTTTTCTCTCTATAAAATTAAGAAAATATTTAATTGGTTCAGATCGGGACCGGAAATTTAAATTATGCAATACATGATACAATATAAAAACATACACAATATGGACCAATGGGCCATTCTTTCATAAGTCACCAATAAAACAATTATGGAAGTGGCCCAATAAAAATGAAATGAATTAACAAACTTGTGAATTAAGAAAATATGCAAGATCTGGTTTGTGAGTTTGCTGATTAAGTTTCAATTTTTAGGCCAACATCGGAAACTTTAAACCTGTTATATCTCTTTGGAAAAGTAATAGAGAGTGTTAAAAATAATAAGAAGTGGCAAAAAAATTGTTCTGAATCATGATAAATAAAAATAACATAAATGTAAATAGAGTTTATATTTTTGTATGTATTTTGTTAGTTACCTAGTATCAGGTGACCCTAAAATGTTTTTAAAAAACATTGAAAAATATCTTTAAAAATTTACCATTACCGGGGTTAGTAACATTAACATTTTCTACAGGATAACGTGAAAGTTTACGGACGTATTTATCAATTAAGTTATATATGATTTTTGATCAATACGTTAAAAATAAATTTTCCAGGTTATCTTGGGAGAAATCGTGTACAAAGAATACAAAATATGTAAATATTATTCAATTGCGTACATCGATAATAATATTGAGCATTATCATTACAGACATAACAGTTACATTAAACAGTTGACTTAAAGTTAAAAAAGTAGAAAATTATCTTAACTTAAGGAAATAAAACAACATTCTAACATATCTTTTCTAAACATTAAGACATTTGAACAAGTCGAACGAAGATTATGCACCAAAACCTATATCAGGAAACTGCGAATTACTAAAGTATTCATGGATTATAAAAATGTATAAAAACATCATCAAAAACGATTAACTAGGATAAAACCAAATAAGACAAATTTTTAATTTCTAAAAAAGATTAAATAATCTATGTCCTGGAATGTTTGGGTAGCGTACTTGAAAGCCTAAGGAGGATCTGTTCCGGGTTCTGTCTATTTACTGCAAAAGAGAGGCTCGCCATTCTGATCCATCAAATGATCATCCTCGCCTAGCAGTTCGGGACCATCTCCTACTTTTGTAACAAGCACATACTTTAATCCACCGGGGATTTTATCCATTGAAAGGGAGGCAATTTCTGAGTCCTAAATATATAAAATATAAGTTTAGGTGAATGTCAGAAATTAAAAATATTATCAATAGAAAAATTTCATCAAACAGACTATATCTTCTAATGTCGCGAGTATAACCAATGATACGTGGTAAAAATCGTTTTTTAAATCAAATATGGAAAGATTGGCATTCTAAAAAAAATCTGTATTTCTTTTTTATAGTAACACCATTATTCCGTGAAAATCTAGGTCGACTTAGTCGAGCAACCTTAAAAAATCACCTTAAATTGCAAACTAGTACCACCAATGAATTTTTACAGATAATTTAAGAGAAAATTTCTTTGTATGACTTTAAAATTAACTCCATAAAAATATTTATTTACTTAAGGTATTTCCCCCTTGCCTGAAATAAATGTGCACCTATTAACTTGTATGGGGCATTTACCAGTAACCCCCCGGGCCCCGCAGGTAACAACACCGAGGGTAGTGCGGTTTGATTGGAGCTTAACTCTAATTTTCAAGGAATAATGGACGATGGTAGACCGTATTTTTCATATATACCTCTAGCTTTGATTCCACAGCAGTTTCCCCTCGAATAAATTCTGAAGCTCCATCGGAAAAGTAATACCGAAATAAAGCCAAGAAATGAGGCACATCCTACAAAAAGGAAAACAAGGATATATAAAAGTATAATATGTTCTCAAATTATGAATTTTCTTTCAAGAAGATATAGGAAAATATACGCCCCTGTATCAATATTTATTAAAAAATAAACCAGTATTGATTTAGATATACATTCGCTTTATGCTCATGCTTGTGATAAAATCATTGGTAATATACGATTTTTGAAGCATACGCCCCCCACCCTCTCCCCTATCAATTTCATACATGCATCTCATATGATATAATTGGTCATGTGGCTTTAGCGCCCGGCCCCCTAGCCTGTCCTAGCCAGGGAGTAAGGAATAGATATAACTGACGCGGTTCGCCCTACCATATGTTTTATGTTAGGATTATTTTCAGGACTCCTGGCGGAGTATATAAGAAAATTTCCGATTGTTGTCATGATATTCATATGGTTGCATATATTACATTAATATACAGAGTATATTATATTCAATAATTACGAATATCCAATGAATCAAGATTAAAAAATAAGGGACATTTTTTTTCTTTTGGTAGAGTTTTTATTTTTTTCTCTTCCTTGGCATTTTTTCTTTTTTTTATTTTTTGACATGTTTTTTTAATTTTTTCTTAGATTTTTTTTTTCTTTCTTATTTGGCCTTTCTGTTTATGATTATACATGCTTTGCAGACGGGTACTTCATTTGAATAAGAAACATTTGTCTGATGTACATTTACTGCGTATACAATAACCTATTCTGAATATTTCATATTCAAATGGAGTACCCGTCTGCAAAGCATGAATAATCATATGGTAGGACGAACCGGGTCAGTTGTATCTCCCTTCTATTCCTTACTCCCTGGTCCTAGCTGAAGAAATCGTCTTAAACTAACCTAGCTCAAAAATATTAAAAATAAATAATAATAATTCGGCTGAAAAATAGTTTTTTATGTACAAAATTGATAGGAGGGGGGGCCCCGGGGGGGGGTCCAAAAATCGT